GGTTAAGTTAATGAGTTAGGTTAGGTTAGTTAAGGTTAGGTTAAGTAAAGTTAGTTTAGGTTAGATTAGATTAGGTTAGGTTAGGTTGAGTTAGGTTAGGTTAGTTAAGGTTAGGTTAAGTAAAGTTAGTTTAGGTTAGATTAGATTAGGTTAGGTTAGGTTGAGTTAGGTTAGGTTAGTTTAGGTTATGTTAGGATACGTTAGTTCTGGACCAGGATTCATCAGTTTTTTATATTACTCTCGTTATACATTTTTGTATCACCTTGTCGATTACTAAGGTCGATTCTAAGCGCTGTAAGAGGTTAGATTATAATGTTTATTCGTATTGACGTCACTCTCACTTTTGGAAGTGAACGTGTTTTTGCCAACTGGGCCCTCACGGCCATTAAAACTGCTGTAAATGAAATTCAAGTTCACCACGTCTTAGTGGTGATGCAGTTAGATCTATTATGGAACAAACATACTCTCTTTCTCAGATTTTAATTTTAATTTTTTTTAGAGTCTCCTAAAATCACATTTATTTTAATTAAATAATTATGAAATGCAATTGAAGAACTGATATGATAATATTTTGTATTATAATATCTTTAAAGATATAACCTTTATTTAGCTCTGCTTAAAATATTTTGAAGCGAGCAAAATGGAAACCGAATACGTATCTAAAAACGGTCTCACTCTTTAAATAAATTTTAATCAGTTATTCTCTTGATGATGGCTGTATCCTGGGTTGTAGCGTCGTGCGGTCTGGTAAAAGATTACCGTTTCAGAGGACATCAGTACACTGATGATAAAGGCAGCAAGGACCTCTGAAATGTTGGTAATCTTCTATCACGCTACGCGGCTTTGCAATTCAGAAGACAATGGCTGTTTCGTACTCACCGCCTAGAGAATTGTAATTAATATATTTTCTGAATTGAGCGTTTCATTCAACTTCTAGATGTTGTGTTATTCCGGTCTGCGATTAGAACTTAAGTACACACTGCTCGCTTAAAAGATCAAATTTATAATCTATTTACTTTGTTCTATTATATTTCGTAACAATTCTTATTAGGATTGTTATAAACCTTACGCACTGAAATTTAATATTTTCCTCTTGAGGGTAACTGGGGATGCTAACATCGGTTGTTGTTGATTTTCTAAAAAAAATTATTCAAAATAGAGCTGCTATGAACTACATGTTAAGCGAAGAATATTACCATTATCCGTAAATTAAAAAAGTTAAGAAATGGAAGATATCGAATCCTATCTTCTCAAACTTAATACGACCAAAGAGCTCTTCAGACCCAGGCAGACATACAAATTGGGCTACATTTATTTACATGGGAAAGCAAATCAGAAAAGAAAAAAGAAAAACAGAACGTCTACTATGTATAGACACTTACAACAACAGACATCATTAAAAGTGTAATATACCGGATACGTTCTCAAGACTGCCATAAACATTATATAGGAGAATTGATCAAAAATATCAAAACTAAGTTTTACGAACATATGAGGGTTATAGAAACTAATGAATTTTCCACAGAATTTTTCCAACATTTTGTTCAATATCGGCACTCACATGGCACCTCGGAAGATACAATTAAAATTTTCGAAGAGGCCAGAATTAACACACTAGAAAAATTCCACATAAACAATAACTTTAAAAATGCATTCATTTAAACGAAGCAACAAGCCCGTTTTTTAACATCTTCATCAACTACAATAATACCTAAAGACCAGTTTTCTCCATCCAACCCTCAACATCAGCCAAGCCACTTCAGTTTAGCTGCAGACTTTAACTGGTTACCACACGTACATAGTTTAATCTACTAAAATAGGTAAGCTGCTTCAGACACTCCATTGCGCCTTCAAATCAACAACAAAAAATGTGTATACAAATTAGCAGTCATAGTTTTGAACACTTAAAGGGAACCACCGGAAGATGACAATCTCTGGTCGAAACATGTAGCAGATTCTCAATAAAAATTAAAACTATAATCATAAATCGTCGTGTACTAGACGGACTCTCAACACAAAACAGGATTCATGCCTTAAAAAATATATTTCCTGTCTTCTAAATGGTGGTTAATGCATATTTCTTATTGAAATGTTAACAGCTTCTTAAAATCTTAATTGGTTCTCAAAATCGAGGTTTTACTGTTTTTGACATCTTTCGACTCTCCGTTTTGGGGTCAGGGGCCCTTGTGCAACATTTCAGTTTCCACGTCTCCTATAATTAGGTTCCTACCACAACATCGTCGCTGAAACCACGTAAAATCGTACTCTGTTGTGTCCAGGCGACCGGAGGCAACTTGGAGTTCCGTGTTGTGGAGGTGGTTGGCTCCCGGCTGTCGGGGGCCCAGTTCGGCTCCGCTGTGGCTGGTCTAGATGACATCAATAATGACGGCTACAACGGTAATCAGTTCTAAGCAGTATGATAGTTTGTTCAATGGTTTACGTACGAACTCCTGTTACATAACCTCATTTACTTAGCTCTGAGAGCATTTGGCCGTATGTGCTAAGGATTTGAACCCGTGATCTCTTATGTAATTCCAGAGTACAAAGGTTAAAAAAGTATGTGACATTGTTCGTTTTATAACCAAAATATGAGCTCCGATATTCTAGCCAATAAGATGCTTAGGTATAACCTCATATAATATATCACAAATACAACGCAAAGAATTATTGGGGAAATGATGTGTGTACAGTTTTGGTTAAAAAGTCTGAAGAGAAGAGAGGATAATATTAAAATGTATTTTAGGGTTATGGGGTTGGTTCATGATTGGAATCATCTGGCCTCAGTTAGGGATATATGTAGTTTCTTGTGAACACGGTAATGAATCTGGTTCCATAAAATACGGCGAGGGTCTATTGACTAGCTGAACGCACTCCTAGCTTGTCAGCAACAACTCTGCTCCATCGAGTTATTTGAAACAAAGTCTCTTGGTTTCCTAATAATCATTTATTTAGTATAATATTAGAGGCCGAGAGAGAAGGACTGATTTTGGTCGTATGAGATGGACTCGTCCAAAGCACGCGCTTGAGGGGTGTCAGCTTCAGTTGTTTAGTTCAGTGCGTCACCGCAGCTGAGTCTGTGCGACCCCCCACTACTACCGAACTCCCCTCTCTCGGCTTATACATCGCCACGACTACTCGCGCGACGTATACATTACTTATATTTACATTACTTTACTGATTATAAAATTAAATTAATGATAGGCTAATAAACAAAATTAATCACTTACTTGTAATTCAGTAATGTTTCTAGTCTTCGATACATCTTTTGAACTTTATTTGTTCTATAGATGAAAGTATTCTGGCATATTGAATCATCTAGCCTGGTAGTAGTTTACATAAGCGATGTTTATTGCTTCTGAAACGTCAGTTTAACTCCTGCGAAACTACATGGTTCAATATTCCAGAAGGCGGCCAGTTTTTACATCAAATATAATTGCCAAATTGAGATTCTGAAATCTTACTTCTATTTGCATAACTTTCTAAGTAAATATCCCGATGAAATACAGCCCTTATTTATAAGCTAACAGCCACTCAGCTGGTTAAGTATCTGAAATTTAATTACAGCGTTTACACCAGCCAGTAATTAATTTTTGCATCAGCCAGATGCATCCAGTTTACGTCACACCTCATTTTTCTAAGATTCATTTTAATATTATTCCATTTATATTTATGTCTCGAAAGTTTTGTTCTGTTCTATGCATGTTAAAGATTAGTTTTCTTACTAAATGTATAAATTCTCTTCTCATTTACTTTTAGGCTTCCAGTTTTCTTGCAAATTTGTCGGGAATTGATACATTTTTTTTAGAGATTAAGTAATCATGACTCAGAATTTTCGTCTTACCGCCTTAAAATAGCGGAAATTATGTTCATCACGTGATGTAAGAGTTACTGTGCTATTTTTAAAATTAATTTAAGAATCGTACGAATACTCCATATAATTTTGCAGACTTTGTTGTTGGAGCACCACACGAAGACGAAGGAAGGGGTGTGATATACATATTTCATGGTAGACAAGACACCCAAAGATGGGAATTTTCACAGCGGATCGTTGGTAAAGAGGTTCATACTGATATTCTGGGATTTGGAATTAGCTTCTCAAAGAGTTTAGACATTGATGGAAACAATTATTCAGGTAATTAAAATGTGAAAAGTTAAAATTTTCCCTGGATACATTAATTTATTCCTATAACCAAAGTAAATGTCGTGGCATATTCCAAGGTACTAATAATTATCACTTCCAAGAACACGAAAACTACAAAATAACTAAAGATATCTGTTCTGATCTGCATTGATTTTTCATGGTTCTTAAAAATATATATAACGTTTTTAAAGATGTCACGTGATAAATTCTAAAAGTCAGTCGAAAGTTCGAAATTGGGATTATGGGGAACATCATAACGCACAACCATGATCACAACATACAAATGTCTGGTTTTTGTTACTGATGAAGGCAGTTACGGTATAATAATTATTAGAACTTAAAATGTTTCTTAACTGAATTATTTCAACGTAGTTTATATGGGGTTTAACTGTTAGATCCACTTTTGTGTTGAACGTTAAATTGACAGTCCGTGTTCGCAAAGATTTTTATGACAGTTTCAATGTTCATTAAAAATCCACTATATATTTCCACCTTAATTCGTAATTTTCAGTTGTTATTTTTAAGTAATCTAAACTAACTGATAATTCATATATATTTTCTGTTGTTGACTTAAGCAGCTTACGAATTTAGTAGACTGGACTGTGTAGGTGTGATAACCATTTAAAAGCTGTTGTTGAATAAAAGGTAATAAGACTTCGAGATTATTATTAATACCGAGTAGGTTAGGATGTGGAAAAGAACAGTGGTGCCCTATCACGGCATTTACTTTAGATATTGATATAAGATTAGGTAATTATTCAATTCAATTAATTTATTTACGTGTTTGCCAACAGCAAGAAGCCAATAACAGGCAAACACTGATAATATATACAATAATAATGAAATAATAATGAAAAATAGTACACAAACAGATTAACTAAACTTATACATGTACAGTATTAAATATAACAAGTACAGGCAATCCCAAAATAGAAACAATATTAACACAAAGCAAAATAAATGAATAAATATAAATAAAAACAAATAATCCACCTAGGGAACACTAATAAATGATGACAACATATAATTATATATATTTGTGACAGATTTTGCAGTTGGAGCATACAAATCAGGACACGCCATAGTGTTGAAGTCTCGTCCAGTAATTACGTATACAGCAACATTAAGTCCAAACGTCTTTAGCATTGATTTCGATGCTACCAGCTTTAACGTCACTGCTTGTGTAACTTACAGAGGCAAGCACGTGCCATCAACTGTCCGTAAGTTAGTTTTCATTACTTGTTATTCTTAAACGCAGACTTAGAATAGTTTGCAGTTACATTGAAATAAAAGTGAGGTTATGTTACTTTATGTTTTGTTTCTAGAAAGTGTTACTAACACGAATTTTTAGAAAGGATGTGGTAAAAAGATTTTTATGTTTAAAATTAAGTAATTACAAATTTATATCTCGGTTATTAATGTAACTGAAGAAAACACAGTTCAGATTTTCGGTTTTTTTTTGTTTTTGGAATCGCCATTATTATAAAGACTCTGATTCCGAACATCTTCGTACCCAATGCACACCCGAAGATATTTCCCCTGAAACTAAGACGGGAAGAACGTGAATCTACTGGGTACTGAATTCTATCAACCGGAGAGGTTTGAGAATTATCTTCAGACGCTTTTGAGTTTAAAAAAACTAATCAAAGGCTGTTATTATAAATACAACATAGCGCCTATTGTACGTGGTAATTGGGAAAAGTAGGTCCCCGAATAATCAAAAAAACACGGTAGAACCAAATTATATTTTATTACAATTCAATTAATTATCATCCATGTAAGTAAAATAAGAAGTTGTACATATTTTCCCATATAAACACACGTATTAACGTTTTAAAACATGTATAGAAACGTTACGTTTAATCCATGAGTTGAGATGAACTCGATTAGTCAGTGTTGCAAGTAATTAAGAAAATTGTAATTATATATATTAGAGATAATCTAAGGCCACGGATAATTCCCCGGATAATCGTCGCTTACTGTACACATTTCCACTGGATATCTAAAAACAGAAAATCTAATACTAGCTTATAGATATATCCCAGAATATTAAGGTACGATGGCGTAGCGGTTAGAACGCTGGCCTTGTAATCCTGGGGTCTCGGGTTCGATTCCCGGCGGTGCCCGAATTTATAACTTGTGTTGGGCAAGGCCGTGGTCTAGGCAACACGGAGTTTTCCTCCGGGGGCTTCCCCGGTTTCTCCGTGGCATCCCAACAATTACTCCATTCACACACAGAAGAAGGCAATGGCAAACCACTTCTGGATCATCTGCCAAGAACGTATATGAACAGGTCCCAGTCCGAGAAAAGGATGGGAGGATCCTGTTCATATGGACCTGTCGTCAGACAGAACACTACAAATAAAAATTAAGGTATCGTGTATATTAAGTAACAAAATAACAGACAAAAAAACTATTGCCAGTTTAAAGTTATAAAATGAGTGGACGACAGGATGTTCTATACGTCTGTGAGGATGAGATTGTCATTAATTTAGGGTCAGCCTTATAACATGCAAAATATCGCTTACAGTTGGTTTAAATTAATTAATAACCGTGGATTGATACAAATGTTCGCTTCAACGACAGACACACAATCGTTACGATACTACAAGTTCGTATTTTCTGCATTTGTTTATGGAAAGCAGACGAAAGCAAAAGACGATTTGTTTTGGTAACTATACTGGTCTTCAGGTTAGCGTTTTATTTAACAACGCTCTCACTAACTTAGACGAGGCTTACAGTACAAAATATTGAATGAATACGTGGCTAATAAATAATGAACTATAAGGAATGTGGGAGGAGTTTGTCATAGACTAATTTAAAGTACTGTCCAGGAATTTTCTCTGGAGGGAATGGGGAAAATCACGAAAATCAATTCAGAATATGATTTGTGTTGACCACTGGTTTGCAATTTCTGGTTTATTACCCTGAAGATGAAGGTGTAATACTTTGTTTCAAAAACCTGATAACCGTCTGCAGGACGTAACACAAAAAGACCGCAACGAAATTTTCCAGAGTTAAATAAAGAAACCTTCAGGTAACACGTTCAGTTCTGTAATGTGCAACGTGAGAATGTTTTATTGGTGATTTGCGAGGCAGAGCTATAGATTCAATGCACACTTTCGCTTTACAGAAACGCGAGTTATCTTAACACTGGACAAAAATTACCAGAGGGTAACACCAAGGACTTTCACAGACGTGTTAACAGTTACAAAGAACGAAACCCAATGTATGGAGCACAGCGTGCGAATCGAGGTAAGTGTGATTCCTATTGCTGACTTTCCTTTATCTTCACAGGCTTTCCTTCGTCTTCGACAGTTTTCCTTTATCTTCGGGTTTTCCTTTGTCTTCGACGGTTTTCCTTTATCTTCGGGTTTTCCTTTGTCTTCGACGGTTTTCCTTTATCTTCGGGTTTTCCTTTGTCTTAGACGGTTTTCCTTTATCTTCGGGTTTTCCTTTGTCTTCGACGGTTTTCCTTTATCTTCGGGTTTTCCTTTGTCTTCGACGGTTTTCCTTTATCTTCGGGTTTTCCTTTGTCTTCGACGGTTTTCCTTTATCTTCGGGTTTTCCTTTGTCTTCGACGGTTTTCCTTTATCTTCGGGTTTTCCTTTGTCTTAGACGGTTTTCCTTTATCTTCGGGTTTTCCTTTGTCTTAGACGGTTTTCCTTTATCTTCGGGTTTTCCTTTGTCTTAGACGGTTTTCCTTTATCTTCGGGTTTTCCTTTGTCTTAGACGGTTTTCCTTTATCTTCGGGTTTTCCTTTGTCTTAGACGGTTTTCCTTTATCTTCGGGTTTTCCTTTGTCTTAGACGGTTTTCCTTTATCTTCGGGTTTTCCTTTGTCTTAGACGGTTTTCCTTTATCTTCGGGTTTTCCTTTGTCTTAGACGGTTTTCCTTTATCTTCGGGTTTTCCTTTGTCTTAGACGGTTTTCCTTTATCTTCGGGTTTTCCTTTGTCTTAGACGGTTTTCCTTTATCTTCGGGTTTTCCTTTGTCTTAGACGGTTTTCCTTTATCTTCGGGTTTTCCTTTGTCTTAGACGGTTTTCCTTTATCTTCGGGTTTTCCTTTGTCTTAGACGGTTTTCCTTTATCTTCGGGTTTTCCTTTGTCTTAGACGGTTTTCCTTTATCTTCGGGTTTTCCTTTGTCTTCGAAGGTTTTCCTTTTTCTTCGGGTTTTATTTTTATTTTTTGGTTCTAAAATGTGGCGATTGAAAAGCTGGTTTTTGAAATTACAATGTTACGTGATTTTAAATGGTGGAATGCTTCGAATCAAGTACATAACCTAACATTCAGGATGGTCACACGAGGACTAAAAAACATCAACTGTAGAATAGGTAAAAATGTAATAATGAAGTTGGTTTGTAAGATTTTGTTGTCTTTTTAACCACGCTGCTAGTAGCTTTGACAAAATACCGATGTATTTTTGTGGAGGATCTGAGGAAAACTATAAAGAACCTCAGTTATATATAGGCCTATGCATGTTTATGAATACGTCGTTACCACTGGCATATAAAGGGTTCAAAGACGCTGGTGGTCACTTTAAATTTTACGTCATGGACATTGTGAAATCCAACTCATATATTTAATATTTCCACAGAACTCTCTTCATGATTTCTCGAAACCTATCAACCTGATGATGAAATATTTACTGGATGACAGCTCGATTGGTGAGTATTTATACCAGCGTAGGGCCATAACTCATGCGGTTAATTCATGTTTTGATATGACACGCATAATTAAAGGCAAATATTCAGCCATTTATAGTCGCCATGCATTGGAGATTATAAGACGAATGGCGGAAAATGACAGCGGTTCTAAATTTTGGCGCCAGATGGAGGTAAGCGGTCACGTGCTCGGTACGTTCACCGTTGATACCTACGCAGAGGAACAGAGGGCTCCACAGTCGAATAGACAAGTCCTATCCTTACATTATTAATCAGCTCTGTAGAACAAAGTGTAATCGAAAATATAAATTTTATTTTCATGCAGTGATATTTATAATATCGAACGGAACTAATGGTTGTTAGCTGTTCATTTCGTTTATCTTTTAAATTAGTGTATTTGTATACTGGGCAGGGTTAATGAAAAAATTTTGATTAAAGGGTCAGGACATCAAGAAATTCTCTGATATTATGGCTCTATCTTATGTAGGTTAATAATTTAATGTCATTCTGCAAGTTTTTAATTCGTTGTCAGCGGAAAAATTTATCAGATATAAGGATTCAAAAACTTAGTATCTTTCTGTAATTTCGTCCACATATTTCTCGTTGTCCTGCTTACTTACTTAGGATACTTAGACGACGCGTTGAGCATCTGCGGGTCCCAACTTTTCGTTGGCTTTGATCTATTAGACAGTTGTTAGGACTCCTTAGACGAGTGATCAGCCCGTCGCAAGGCCTCTATCTGTACACAGAGACACGCGGACAAATATCCACGCCTTGAGTGGGATTCGAACCCACGGTCCCAGCGGCACAAGGCCCACGCCTCAGACCACTCGGCCACTGTAACGACTTTTCGTTGTCTTATTTCTTATAAAACGTCCTGTTTCAAAATCAGTGTTTGTTAAGCTTGTTTATAACACTGCAATAGGACAGGATAAACCATGTCGGGCAACGCTAGAACATTAATTACGTTAGGTAATATTTGTCTAAAGAGGAAGAAGAATAATTATTGTCTTAAATTGGCGAAGTATTATTTTAAGTTAACTGAAATTAAGTATATATTAAATCTTGTCCATCTAATCACAATAATTCTTATTAATATTAAAATATTACAATAATTAACATTTAAAATATTTAAAATATTAAATGATGTTCTTTATCGAAATATTCAATTTACATTAGACCATCATTTTTCATGTTTCACGACATGTTTCAGTTCCTAAAAGAACCATCCTCAGGTGTATATAATTATATAAAGCTTCAAAACGATAAATAATTCAGCATTTGCTAGGTTCCTTCCTCTAGGAACAAAAATGGCGGCTGTTTTAAAGACCCAGAGTTCAGATTCTATCACTTTGCTGATAAATGTATCTTAGCGACATATATTTTACATATACGATAATGAAAACGACGACTAGATTTTTTTATGTTTACAGCGGATTGTTTTAGGAAAAGATTAAACGAAACTTTTCTCATAAAATGACAGTAAAGTGTCGATTAAGGGTTTATTTGTTGTTGAGTTGTGGTTAGAAGTTTCTTTCAAATTTTCTACGCTTGTAAATTGATTTTCTTTTGTGTACTGATTCCACTCCTGCATTCCACATCACGATAAAACACTGTAAACAAATGTTTTCCTTTATTTCAAATGTCTTTCTACAGGTGATAATTTCTGCAAGTTCTGTCCAATGGTAGATCCCAAGAAACCATCTTCTGTAATCTCGGCGTTACCATATGCCACCGGCTGCCGTTCCAACATCACTTGCAAGCCAGACCTCAAAATCACAGCAAACTTCATCAACCATTTTGGGTGGTCACTGCCGTGAGTAAGAAGATGGCCGCTTCTGAGATGTACCGCCGTCTAGTCTAACTACACGGCGCTACAAACCAGAAGACAGCCATATTTGTTACAATAATGCCAAATCCTTCAGCTTTAGATATTACAGGTTTTCGCACTGATGCAGAAGCATTGTTCATGACCTCGACAACTTCCTTTAATCAATTTCTGTCCTCTGTGCGAACTAAATTTCGTTCCTTAAATACTAACACAGTTTACGAAGTTTGGGCTTCTGAGGTAACCGTTGATATATGCGATGTTTAAGGAGTTGAATTAACTCTCATTTTTGCGTGATTGGTTGTTATTGTACTGATAAATCATTTTTAGGTGCGTTACAGCGATGCTGAGCACCTATTATTATTCTTAAAATAAAAAACATAGGCATATAATGTCCAAAAATAAAATCATATTCCCTGTGTACAGATACAAAGAAAATATTTAAAAATATATATGAAACTCCTCGTATGTAAGTGTCTAGAAAAAATCAAATAAAATCACGAAATTAAATCTACGTGACGTGGTTTGTTATTCAGCTCAACGTCTGACTAAGTCTAACTAATAAACTGAATTGGTTTGGAAGCTATTAATCACTCACTTGGCCAATAAATTCTCAGCGTTTGATTAAACCAGAAGTTAAATTACTATGTTTACAACAGCCAATCACCGGTCTTTATGCCAAGGCAGATGGGTCGAATCCAAATTCCAAACCCGATTTTATTAAGATCCGTTTTAATATCATCTTCCCACCTACGCCTAGGTTTTTCGAATTGTTTCTTCCAAAAGACTTGCAAACCAAAATGTTGTGCACATTTTTCATGTACCCATACGCGCTACATGTCCTACCAATCTCATTTACCTTGATTTGATAGTTCTTGTAATATTTATTTACGAATTTAAATTTAAATTACGCCTTTAACGTACGTTCCTCACTTCATATAACAGACCAAGTCCTATGCCAATACAAAACTATACGTTTTAACGTAGTATTAATACATCTTAATATTTAAATTTTCAGTTATCAGTTAGAGACACAAGTAACCCTGAACTGGATGGTAGCAAATATTTCCTGAATTACATCTGCTCTTAATTTTTAATGAAATTTTGATATTTATTGCCACTCTGATATATTTTAACTTGTCACATTTTCGTAAAAGTTTTACTCATATTAATATAATAATTTTTTCCTGTAACCTAAATTAATGAAAACAAAGTAAGCCTAAAATATGTCTCAAGAAATCAATAAAACATGAGTACATTTCATTTATATAATACAGGCATACCTCGGAGATATTGCGGTTTAGGTTCCAGACCACCGCAATAAAGCGAGTCACACGAATGTTTTGGTTTCCCAGTGCATATAAAAGTTATGTTTACGCTATAATGTAGTCTGTTAAGTGTGAAATAGCATTATGTCTAAAAAACAATGCGAGAATTACCGAAATGTGACGGAGAGACACGAAGTGAGCTCATGCTGTTGGAAAAATGACGTCGATAGACTTGCTCGACGCAGGGTTGCCACAACCCTTCAATTTGTAAAAAAAAAACAAAAACAAAACGCAATATCTGCGAAGCGAAATAAAACGAGGTATGCCTCTACGATGTTTGTTGTCTTACAAGATTGAACCCTAGAAATAAAAATTTACTGTGTGTGATCCAGGACTCCGCTGATATTCGGGTCTCAACCTTCTGTGACCATGAGGGTGTCAGTAGAAAACAATATGGAGCCAGCCTTCCTCGCCTATGCACAAATTTCTCTGCCATTTCCCTGTTCTCTTGTCCGTGTTCCAAATTCGTGTGAGACACTCAATGATAAAACTACGCCTGAATCTACGAATCAGCTGAAATGTCTAATGGGGAATCCTCTAGCTGAAGGAAAGAAGGTAAGCAGATATTGTCTTTTGCTGTCTGTCGCTCGCTCGATCGATAATTGTATCAGGCGTCTGTGTCCTACGTGAACGATTAAATGCGAGCGGTGCGAGTTGCGTGGGTGAAGCGGAAATATCAAACTGGCTGTTTGTGTGGCGCTGTCCTATGTTACAGCGAAGCGAGATCAAATATTTTGATATTTTCGCGCAGATCGCTGCGCTGGCCAGTAAGGCGCATGCGCAGATAAGCTTTGACTGTGCAGTACAGGGAAGGCGCATGCGCAGGAAGACCGTGTGTTTCTCTCACCTAGGACACAACAAGCGATTCCTTTATGTCATATGACACCCCATGCTGCTTATGCAGCTCGCACTGCTCGCTTCTTATCGCTTACGTTACATGAGGTGGCGAGTAGCAACTCTTTCAACGCCATCAACTTTGCTCTGTAGATAAACATAAAGTTTGTAAGTCTTAAAAATGTTAAGTTATTCATCCTAAGAATAGTATTTGCAGTGTAACAGAAAAGTACGGTATAAAAAAATAAAATAACAAGCAGGGGATGCTTCGAGGCTTGGCAGCGGCGCTGGGATCGTTGTGTTCACTCCCAGGGGAACTACTTCGAGGGTGATGGATGAATTTAATACCTGAGATAAGTGTACGGGTTTTTACAGGCGCAGTCTGGAAACTTTCCGATCGCACCTCGTATGTCATTTGACACCCCATGCTGCTTATGCAGCTCGCACAGCTCGCTTCTTCTCGCTCACGTAGGACAAGAGGTGGCGAGTACCAACTCTTTCAACGCCATCAACTTTGCTCTGTAGATAAACATAAAGTTTGTAAGTCTTGAAAATGTTAAATTATTCATCCTAAGAATAGTATTTGCAGTGTAACAGAAAAGTACGGTATAAAAAAATAAAATAACAAGCAGGTCAATCCCCCCCCTCCGTATAAAAATAGACTCTCCCACACTCAGCCGTTGAGTCAAGGTTACACTTGTTACTAGGTCGCTTCTCACGCCAGCTGGTCTAAAGCTGTGCAGGTACGAGAATTGTGTGTTATCCAACGTTACTTCGCATCGAAATCATTTCTTATTGTTCAAGAAGAATTTATAAATGCATATCCTGACACGGAAGTACGGAGCAAGACGAAATTACACCGATAACATTTTAAAAAAAAAAATAGAAAGTGTTTGTGTATGGCAAGTACTCGTAGAGCGAGAAACCAGCTGAAATTACGCGATTATCGATTTCAAGCATCGTTCCAACTGTGATAAACTGGATGCGGGTAAAATAATTCATATAGCATATTTACCGAAACAAAAATTGTTTCGAACAAATACTGCACGGAAATAACTTGCATTTTACACCCCAAATAAACATTTAAGTGTTTATATTTGTTTAGAAATTATTAAACAAAAGGAGTTTTGTGCTGTCGCCATCTCGTAACTCGAGATATCTCGATCGATTAATAAAATATTGTAATCGATATACCTGTTAGTTTGCCTCACCTGTTTTTTTACGATCCAAAGGGGCCTTTAAAACTTAGGGTACACGAATTCAAAGCGAGACGATTTACTATTACCATTTTATAAATAAAAAAATGTGATTCTTTGGCTTTTTATACTGTTTTTGTATATTATTCTCTTTGAATTCCGTCAGTTTGTTCGATAAAATGTTTTGGAAATGGTGCCTTACTGTGTTTCCTGACTATATTACGGCAGTCGTCCATTATATATGCCTTTAAATGCGACGTATACATTTGCTTTGCTTTATGCAGAATACCATGGATTTGGAAGTAGATATACAAAAAGTAGAGAGCGGAACGGACATGATTGTGTTCAGTTTGATGGCGACGAGCGCTGGTACGGAAATGAACCCTAGCGACAACTTCAAGAACTTATCATTACAACTCACAACGCTGACGGACATCGGTTTAACAGGGCAAGTTAATTACATTATCTAATATTTTACCCAATTTAACTGAATTACAGATAGTATGAAATATTGTTTCGTTTAAACTAATGTTATTTTAACGACGCTGTTTCACCTGCAGAATACCCTGTCAGATTCTGGGTATCTCAAATGTATTATTTTTGTCCAGTTGAATTCTGAGACTGGATGGCATCTGTTTACCATTCATAAAC